TCCCGAGAATAGGGAGAGATATTACAATTAGTTTGGAGAATTCATTATCATAAATCCCACCCCGAGTTCCTCCCCATTGTGTCTGCGCAGTGGTTCCTGGTGGTCTTGGGCAGGGGTCTTCAGGATGAAGATTGAAGATGCCTCCTCTTCTTCTTGTGACTTTTCACCCAATTAGGTCTTTTCAGCATGTCAATTTAGAATTCCTTGAATTCTCGTTCCTTATCTTGGGATTCAGTAGTTGCAGTCCCTCCCTTATTTCAAGAGCCCACCCTGCTGAGAGCCCTGCATCTATTTTGTTAAAAGTTTCTCACTTCAACAGGTACTTCCAGCTGAAGACAACAGGAGGCAGACTATGTAAGTACAAAGCACCTCGTAATGCCAAGTGCTCAGAAATGTCAGGTCCTGGGTGTCTCAGAGCTAGCACCCAAGCGTTTATTCCTCTTAGTTTCTCTGAACCTCAGCTGCTGTAGCTAAAACTGTCACGCAGTGCTATAGCTGCTGGGCAAACCCTGCTCAGCTCCAGGCAGGTTGGTGCTCAGTGCTAAGGGCATCTTCAGGGAAAAAAAGGTATATACGCTGTAATTTGGCAAAGGCAGCCTGCATCTCTCCTTGGAAGTACTACCAAATTTGTGTGAGGGCCACATCTTGATATGGCAGTGAGCTACCTCCTGCTCATCAGGCTCTTGGTCCAAAAGTGAGACTTTTCTAGGTGCCCCAAATTGGTCTTGGAAAATTGCACAAACCACAGCAATATATTTCTGCCTTGCTGTGTGCTTAGAAACTGTTGGTGTCTTTCTGCTGACATTTACCAAAAATACTCATCTGGAGGCCTATCCTGGTATATAAATATTCAGTCCAGGCATTTCAATGCAATTTCACAAGCTACTGTATAGACCTTACAGTCCTGTAGGACCAGTTTTTGTGGGGAATCAAATAGGAGCAATCCCAGAGGATGTAGACTAAGGGTCCATCTAGCCCAGCCTTAATACCTCCAGATGCGGCCACAGCAGACCCCTTGAAGAGAAAGGCCAATATTTGTGCTGCCTCCATTGAGGGCACTCCCTGCCTCCAGCCATTCTCATTTTACAAATCTTGAGCTTATTGCTTTGAAATCCAAGCCCTGACTCAGACATATGGAACTTTCCTTGCAATCACCATGTCCCTTGACAAGGAGCTCCTCATTATGAAGAGCTCTTTCCTTCTGTTCACTTTGAACCTGGCTCTTGCCAGGTTCATTTGATAGTCCATGGTTCTTGCTTTGGGAGAGACAGTGAATAATCACTGTTTCTCCCTCTTTCTAGGCCACTCATCATTTTGCAGACCTCAGTTCCCATTCTGGAAGGTCTCGATTCCTCTGGAGAATACCTCCTCTGAGACCTTACTTGTCATTATTGGAGCTGCACCACCCTGCAATCACTGTCTTCCACTGGTCTGTTTCCAGCTCAGTGCTCCCAGTTAAAACTAGAGTTTCTCACACCAGTGATCTGGAAGCTCCCAGGGGCACTGTGATACTGTGATCCCCCATACATGACTCCAACCTAAGAGCCGGTGTGCTGGAGCGGGCTGCCTTCAGGGCTAAGAAATTACTTCCTCCTGCATCCCAAATCTGTTCTGGTGACAGATCCAAAGATACCATGTGTGGTTTCTATTGAAAGCTGAAACACACCATAAGGCAGAGGTTTTACAGCCTCCATAAATAGCTACTATTTAGGATGTATGATATGGAGGAGTTTTAGAAATCAAAATATTTAGAGATTTGCATTATTTGTCTTGGCAGGAAGGAGCAGCCAAGACTGAAACACAAAATCTTCCTTCAAGGAAGGAACAGAGTGGAGGAAAACAGTGAATAGGGAGAATAACAGAGGTGTCAAAACCTCCAAGAATTCCTTTTGCAATGAATGGAAGCAGGAAACATAGCCTGGTATGTCTGAAAGTAGAGAGAATTAATTGAAAATGTCTAGGCACATTTGTCTTCCTGATAGAAAATATTGATTTTTCAGAACAAATCTTGACATTTCCATCAAACCTGTATTTGAATATTTCAAGAACATCCAGAACATTCAGCTAAAAGCAGCTCCAAGCTAGGCTGTGTTGGTGTGAGCTGCATCAGCAAGGATATCTCCACCTCATTCCCCAGCCTGTTCTCCTCCTCTCAGTTTTATTCTAGTCCCTGTGTGGGGATGTGTAACAGGAACGTTAGGATTGGTCTGAATGGGGAATGTGTGCAAATCCTGGGTCCGAATGCACTGGTAGAAATGGCACGAGCAGGGGAATGACAGGTAGATGTTGGTGGCATCTAGGTTAGCAGGTCATCGGTGCATCATGATCATCTCATCTCGTCTCAGTCTGATCTCAGTCTCAGCTCTCCATGTGGTTTCCCAGTCTGCCACTCGGCCAGATCTGTCTCCAAGCCTGTTTCTAGCACCCCCAGCCTCAATCTGCCGTCTGTTGCTTCAGGCAGGGGTGTCAGTCTTGGTCTGTTATCTTGGGCATGTCAAGCTGTCACGTCTCTTGTCTCGGGCAACACATCTGTCAGTCAGCATGGCCAGCAACATGGGGACAGGGGAGTGCAAGGGCGCCTGCACCATCCCTGCATACACCCTGCTTCACCCACACCTTAACCAGCATTTCTGAGCAGCAGCTGGGGGAAAAAGGTGCCCAGAGCTGGGGGAAGTGTGGGTGCAGTGTGAGGGGCGTCGCTTATGGCTAGACTGGAGGTGCCTTATGGCTGAGCTGGGCACGGGGATGGAGGGGAGCTGGGACACCTGGGCAGACACAGATGGACACACATCGTGGGAAGAGCTGGAACGGGGAGGAGAGGGAGTGCAGAGGTGGATTTGGGAGTGGGGCTTGGCACACCTTCCTTCCTGGCCCTGCTGCTGCTGGTGCTGACATCCCATGCCGGGTGTGCTGCAACCTGCCTGGTCCCATCCTGGCAGCTCCCCGAGACAGCTGCTCTCCTGGCACTCCCTGCTAGATTCAGTTAGACGCTTCAGGGAAGATGAGCAACTCCTGACTGCTCAAGGAATGGACCAGCAGCAGGCTGACACCTCCCTAGCTCCACTCTGTGCAGTGTGGAGGTGAGTGGATCCAGTCCAGGACATTATTGATGGGACTTCATGCTCCCCCCTGGAGGTGCAAGTTTTCATCCCAGCATCTGATTGGCCTCTGGAGCATGGGACAAGGGAAATTATAGAGCAGGCAGGATTCCAGATGAATCCTGAGATCCTCAGCTGTTTGGAGCAGTGTACCAAGTGCTCTGCTGCAGGGGAGTGAAGCCTCAGCCTTGATTCAGGCTGTCTTGATTCACTCTCTGGGAGTTTAACCCCTCAGTGTGGTCTGGGATAGCAGCAATCCCAGCAGTGGGGAAAGAGAGATGCAGAAAAGCAAATGGATAATGCCAGGTCCTTCCCTGCTGCAAAGGCAAAGCTGGGGACTGAGCTACAACCGCAGAAGAGAAACTGCAGGCTGTGGGCTGGGTGGAATTATTCTAGCTGTGTGATGGGGGATCCCTGTCCCTGCCAAGGAAGCATCTTTCTGAAAGCCCCCCTGGCAGCGTGTGCCCAGGGCTCTGCGGGCAGACCCTCCCCACCTGCCTGCTCTTCTGGCTTGTAGAGCAGGAGCAAGACACCCACCTGTGGTCTCACCCTGGCTCATTTCTGTTCGTGCTTAGTAACACAGTGTTTTAGCAAAACAAAAGGCTCTGTGTAAAACAAGTCCTGCAATGCCACTTAGTCCATGCTTTCTAGCAAGTCTGGCTCACTTTTTCAAAGAGTTCAGTCTATGGAGATGTGGTGATGGTGTGCATCATGCCCTGGAGCACTTGGGAGCCTCAGGTCTGGAATCAGCTTTCCTTCAGCCAGCCCAGGGCATCTCTTCATTTTCCTTCTAGTTCGTCTGGGTTCCTACAAGGCCACCACTTTGGGCAGTAGTTTCTATTTTGTAATCACCCTTCTCTGTAGAGAAGCTACATCCCTTTCTTCACTGGACCGTCATGAAAGGCAGCCTGCTCACGTGACTTTCCCACTGTGGCTGTGGTTGTCCAGCACCCAGACACATTCACTAGCACCATGACGACCTCTGCTCTCCTGAGGCATTTCCAACAGTTTTTCTGCCATTCCTGTCCCAAATAACATGAGCAAAACCAGTAAATCTCTTCTGTATGTGTCTGTGGCTGTGGGGACAATGATGAAGCAATGTCAGGAGGGTGTTGATTTTACACTGATGGAACCAAATAAGCATCTAAGCCAACTGTATTGTGCCAACATGGTCATGAGCTTCTAAAGGTCTTTGAAAACATTAACGGCCAATTCTCATGTCCGTGGATAACACAGTGCTATTTTAGCTCTCACTGGTATTTGTGAAACTGCAATGTAGCGACAGAACCAGTTTTCTAATGACTTGCTGCAAGTGATGGAAGAGGAGCCCAGACCTGGGATGGCACTGTGCTCTGCCCTCTGCTCTGCACACTTCCCCGCTGAGGCTGTCTGGCTCCCACAGAGAAAGCCCCCATCTCCTTGGGGCAGTGCTGCAGGCAGGGCAGAGCATGGCTGCTGTGTGCTCGCCAACCTGCCAGGTGGGCATCTGGGGAGAAGCTCTCCCTGCTCCAGTCGCTGTGGGAGAAGTGAATTGTCCCCAGTTTGTCTGTGGTGCAAAAATTCTAGGAAAAACGAGTGTGTGGCAGCCACGGTCATTCTCTATCCATTGCCATCATACAACTTCTAGGCAAGTGGTCCAACTAATAATCTTCTGAATTGCTACTTCTAGGTTATCTACAGAGTCCTTTGGTCAGGGGAAAGGAAAAGGGAACTCATACCCTGTTCTCTATCATTTCATGGTATCATATCATTATATAATATGCCACGTCAGGGCACTACCCTCCCTGGGGCTCTGGGCACTTCCTTCCGTGGGACTACGCAGTACCCTTGGCTTAGCACTTTTTCCATTGTGTCATGTCTTTCAGCAATGCTTCCGGCAGTGTCTCCCTCTATAAAGTGGGCTCAGCCCAGGGATCCCACACCAGGGACAGCAAGGGCACTCTGCAGCAGTCTAGCCCGACTCCTACAATTTACCTCCACCCAGCAGAAGCATGAAGACCTCCACATCTGCCCTTGCTATACTTTTTGTGGCTGCCCTCTGCTGCCCAGTCTTCTCTTCTCCAAGTGAGTCCAAGCTCTGCTCTCTGAGCAGCTCTCTCCTATTTCTTTCTGCTGTATAAGTCTCGTAATGCTTGGCAGCTCTCCCTTCCAAGCATCTGCTGCAGGAAAGGAGAGGCACGTCTTGCTACTCTTTGGCTTCTTGGGGGAAGAATGGCTGTGGTGGGACCCCACAGTAGGAGCAGCACCTCTTCCAGCAGAGACCCTGTGATTTTCTGACCCTGCTCCTCCTCACTAGTGCTTTTCCTGGTCTGGTTTAATCAGAAAACTTAACTTCTCTTCCAGCTTCTGTCAACCTTTCTGGTCCCTGCTGCGTCCAATACAGCGCCAAACCACTTCCCTCGAGCCGCGTGGTGATGTATGAGCACACAGGCAGCCACTGCTCCCAGCCAGCTGTGATGTGAGTAGATCTCTTGCCCAAATCCTGGGGGGTCCTGCTCCACTGAAGGGTGGCAGTGCCAGGAAACCACACATCTCACCCCACCCTGGCAAGGGAAAACACCAGGCTGGGCTCTCCTGTGTTAGGAGAACAGCCTGGAAACATCTGAGGCCCATCCCACATCCCAGGCTGGCAGTTTCTGGACCTTCCTACTAGATTTGAGCCAAATGAGGTTCTGCTGGTCACCCCCATCATGCCCAGATAGCAGGACCCAGGCAGGACAGTGTCCCAGCTGGAGTAGGCATACTGGGAGGCTTGCTGCAGAGCAAGACACCTGTAATGACATTAATCCAACCCCTCAGCCCTTATTTCCCATTCTACAGCTGTTCTGTAGGGGCTGTTCTGCAGCTATAGAGGTGTCTGGTTTGGTGGGGTTCACCAGTGGAAAGAAGCAGGTGGTCCTCCTCCCTCCCCTCCCCTCCCT